GTCAACTAATTGATTATCAAAATAATCGTTAGCTGCAGCCCTTATTCTACACTTTGTGCACAATTTTAGGGCAAGTTGTATTTTTGAGGATTAATTTCATTATTGAACAACTACAGTGCTCACGGTCAATCCAAAATGTTAATAACCTGAATATGTAAGAAAGTAAAAGTGATGTTTTGGCTTTCTTAGGAGAACATCTATGTGTGCACAATTATTGGGCAACTATTAGTGTGCACAATTATCATGCAACTAAGTGGAAAACAAAAATGTTCTTACTCGTTTAGTTTCATCTGTTAAAGTGAGAATAATAAACAAACAACTCAAAATGTACAAATAAACATTTCTGATATTTTTAAAAACAAAATCAGTGACCAATATAGGCCCTTCTTTTCAATGACAGTCATCAGCCTTCCATCCATGGAGTCTGTCAGTTTCTTCATCTGTTGTCGATCAACATTTTGTGTAGCAGTAACCACGGCCTCCCAGACACTGTTTTCCTTCACCGTAAATCCACCGTTTAAGAAGGGACCACAAGTTCTCAATAGGGTTTAGGTCAGGTGAGTAAGGGGGCCATGTCATCATTGTTTCATCTTTAAGGGATTTACTGGCTAGCCATGCAGTGGAGTACTTTGATGCATGCGATGGAGCAATTTCTTGCATACATATCATGGTCAGACTTTGTCCTGGACCACTGCTTGAAGAAAGTGTCTTGTAAAAATTAGTAGTAGGTTTGGGAGTTGATTTTGAGTCCACCTTCAACCCGAAAATCCAACTAGCTCATCTTTATTAATACCAGCCCACCAGTACCCCACCTCCACCTTGCTGGCATCTGAGACGAAGTGGAGCTCTGTGCCCGTTCCTGATCCAGCCATGGGCCCATCCATCTGGTCCATCAAGAGTCATTCTCATCTCATCAGTCCATAAAACCTTTTGAATACTCTTTCTTCGGATCTTTCTTGTCCCAGTCTTGACGTTTCAGCTCATGTGTCTTGTTCAGTGGTGGTCAGGTTTCAGCCTCCCTTACCTTGGCCATGTCTCTGAGCACTGAACACCTTGTACTTCTGGTCACTCAGGGTAGGTTGTAGTTCTGGAATATGACAGCACTGGAGGTTAATGGGTTCCTGGTAGCTTCACGTTTGATTCTTCTCAAATCTTTGGCAGCTAATTTGCGTCTTTTCAACACGTTTATTGCGACCCTGTTGACTATGAACAACAAGTTTGAGGGGTCTGTGATCATGCCCCAATATCTTATCAAATTCAAGAGTGCTGCTTTCCTCCTGAAAGACTTTTTACAATTTTTGACTTCTCAGAGTCAGTTAAATCTTTGTTCTTTTTTGGCCCATTTTGCCTGAGGAAAAGAAGCTGCCTCATCATTATGCACACCTTGATATAGGGTGTTGATCTCCTTAGGCCACACACTCCCTCAATACACAAATACACATCACCTGATATGCTTAAATCCAATCAGCATTCAAGCTTCTACAGCTTGGAGTTGGGACAATATGCATGAAAATAGTGATTTGGTCAGAATACTCACTCGCTTAATAATTCTGCACACAGTGTAATCCTTCCCCAGTCTAACCAAAACTCTAAAGGAAAAAAAATGGCTTGAATTAAAATTTGTCAAAAACCTACTGAAAAATGGCAACTTACTGCTACTTTTGTTTCATATTTACTTGTATTGAAATCTGTTCTACCTTCTCTTTAGGGGGAATCAAAACGCATCACGCTTGTTCTTCAACAGCCTACCCAGGCAGGCACAGGAGCTCAACAAGGCCAGCGTCATGTGGTACTGGGTGGTTTGCCAGGGAAGATTGTTTTTCAAGGGAACCAACTGGCTGCTTTGACACAAGCCAAGAATCAACATGGACAACCTACCAAGGTAGTGACTATACAGCTGCAGGTTCAGCAGCAGCCAGGAGGAACAGCACAAACCCCACAGAAGTTTCACATTGTACAGCAGGGACCAGGTGGTCTGACTCTAGCACCCAGCCCCCAGCAAACACATGTGATCGGTCACCAAGGAGCTCAGAGGCTTTCGGTACCTCTGAAAGTTGTCTTACAGCCACAGGTGAGTACAGGAACAAAAAGTAACATATAACATTGAATCTTTATACCTGTAATTGATGTGCTAGTACATTCGATACATGCAAGTAGTGTTTTATTTTTTATTTTATGTGTATATTTGTAATGTCTGTAGCTCTGACACATTACACAAAGTATTACAGATTGTTAGTCGTTCACATCAGTCTCTAGTAAGGAATTAACATGGATTTCCAGATTGGGTTGTGTTTATCTACAAAGAGGCCAGCAGTTTGGAGTGGTGAAAGTCTCATTGCTTCTCGGTGGAGACATGCTGTACTAGTCCTGGTTTTTAACCCTAGGCCAGAGTGGAGGAATCTTCATACAAAGTTACTTGTGTTAAATCAAATTTTTGTTAAATATAAACTACAGATTTTGATAAGCCTTTGCTGCTCTAAGGGAGCAGTGCAGTGGTAATGACATGAATTAAAGTGACCCTAAACTCAGGAGTTAAATATTAATAATAATAATGCATTAAAGTACCTTAACTATTAAAATGTATTTTATTTGTATATCACTCGGCTGTAGATTTTTATATCGCTGTCCTTCCTTCTGGAGGGTGGCTGCTTTTGTTCCCAATGGTCCCTGTGTGTGTTGTAAAGTAGCCACCGCTCCAAGATCAGTCCTATGATAGACTGCAATCTCATGTTTAGTTTACTAATTTGTTTTTGAGATTGTAGTCTATCACAGGAGTGATCTCGGAGCGGTGGCTACTTTACAACACACACAGGGACCATGGGGAACAAAAGTAGCCTCCCTCCAGAAGGAAGGACAGTGTCAGCACCAATTCAGAGATGATTTGAGTATCTACAGCTGATCAATGCACAAAGAAGATACATTTTTGGTAATATTTCAGCTACTTGAATGCCTTTTTTAAAGTTTAGTGTCACTTTAAGTGTTGTGCAAAACTTCATTCATGTCTGCCTTTCAGCAAGCTCCTAGTGTACTACAAGTCCTGGCTGCAGGGCATGGCTTATTCATGAACCCTTTCCTTACCACTGACATAAGGCTTACGGCGGAACACAACTGCTTCCAGCTGGCCAGCTGAGTAAGCCTTACGTCGGTGGCTTTCTCCCTTCTGCTATAAACTCATGGCCACTTTAGAAGGGTTCCCCTGACGGTTCCTTTTAAATTAATAGCGGTCATCAGCAGCTGAAAAGCCGCTGATGATCGCTATCAAAAAAAATTCCGGGTGCCCCCGCTGCTGCCGCTATCTGACAGCTCTTCTTGCTGGGATCTCGCTTTGGATCCCCGCTGCATCAGCCCATACAAGCGGTGGGATCCAGGAGAATGAACATAGCTGAAGCCGACGAGAAGGAGGAGAGCGGAGGCGCTGTCATCCTGTCAGTTTCAGGATGACAGCGGCTCTGTGTGTAGCAGTGCGCTTCAAGATGGAGAGCGGAGGATCAGTAAATATCAGTGATATTTACCGATCATCTATGTGCAGCGCAAACACTGGAATGATCAGCTGATCACTCCATTGTTTGTAAACAACTGGGGACACATAGTACTATGTTACAGTCCGTGTACCCATCGCACTCAGCCAAAAATGGAGGGTGGGTGCAGCAGGTGTCAGCGGGTGGCTTCCGACAAAATATCAGTAAAGGATGGACACTAGCACTCCAAAGCAAGTTCAGTATGTGTTTATTAACGTACTAGTTGCCAGTAGAACACTCTATACAATGTTTCCGGGTCTCACAGAAACCCCTTCATCACTTGTTTGCCTGATGAAGGGGATCCTGTGAGACCCCAAAACGTTGTATAGAGCGTTCTACTTGCAACTAGTACGCTAATAAATACGTACTGAACTTGCTTTGCAGTGCCGGTGTCCATCCTTTACACACAGTACTATGTGTCCCCAGTTATGAATGAACAGGAAGTGCTTTACATCACGGCCTGTTCTTTAATTTCTGAATTAGTAGTAGCACTCACTATAGAGGCTTTTACCCATTCATAACTGAATGAGAGTAAAATATTTACTATCACCAGTTTCTGAACGAATGGGAAGCCTCTGTACTGAGTGCATTTAGAACACAGGCTGCAGAAAGATTGTGTCCTCAATTTCTTTTTCTATTTCAAGAAGGAAATGTCAGGGGTCTGTTTAGACCCCAGATATTTCACCAAAGCCCCCCCAACAGTTGATTTTAAAAAAAGCACACATATATTATACACATGCAAGAGTGTATAATATTGTGGTGTACATGCGCTGCGTTGTTAGAACGCATCGCAATGCTTTTTTTTACAAAATAATTTAACTGTGGCAGTGCCTGGCAAAGTGTTGACGCATTGTCGTGATTTGTGATACGCTGTGTTGCGATTAATGTACGCCTGTATCATTTTATCACAGTACACACATCAACACAGCGCACAAACTATTTTTAACATAAGTCGCTTATTTACAGTTTTGCATTTTACAGTTTTGCATTTTTTTTTACCGTTTTGCAGAAAGCCGCAATTTTAAAATGTACAAATATTAGTAACTCAATACAGTTTTTTTTTGTTTTTTTTTCTTTTAGATCTAGTATTTAGAAGTATTTTTTTGGTGCACTGATACTGATTTTATTGTGCTTGTATCAATTCAATTGTGTATATTTTATCGGTTTAATATTGATTTGATAAACATTTGCGCAATTACCGCAGGACCTACAAAATTAGCAGCACCATCTTTTTTTTTTTTTTTGTACCTTTCCTGCTCTGTGGTTTCAGGGAATATATGGTTTGGGGGGTATTTTACAAACTCTAACAACACAGCAATGGAGACAAATTGGATAAATGGCGTGGCCAGCTGAGGTTAAAAGTGTTTCCGGAGGGCTGGGCAGTGAAAGGGTAGATCAAGACCAATACAAAACACAAAAATTCCCCAGTCTCAGCCTGCCAGCCAGCCTGCAACCAAACAAATTGCCTTGTCAACAGTATGCGTTAAAATCAGAGGTTTTAGTTGCACAAACTTTTGGCCAAAAATATGTAGAAGCCAAGGCACCTCTGCAACGTGTGGTCCTAACTCTATGTATCCGAGTCTCCAAGTGTGAGCATATTAATGAAGTTGATAAATTACATGCAGGTGTACCTGGAGGTAGCCAACTCCTCCTAATAACGTGCAGGGACGCACTGGAGTCCCAGCAACCAAAAATGCACGCTGGGACTAAAGTGCGTCCCTCAAACCAAAAAATGGTACATGCATGAATCTATAACCGGCTTTTATAGCAGGGCGCACATTGGGAAGGCTTACAACAATCCAAAACACAAAAATTCCCCAGTCTCAACCTGCCAGCCAGCCTGCAACCAAACAAGTAGCCCTGTCAACAGTATGCGTTAAAATCAGAGGTTTTAGTTGCACAAACTTTTGGCCAAAAATATGTAGAAGCCACACTGCCGCGCCAAGGCACTTCTGCAAGGTGTGGTCCTAACTCTATATCAAGACCACCCTGTTGTGTTTTATATACGAGGAAAAAAAATATACTGTTCCTTGATTTTGGTACTGGTATCTTTTTGTTTGTTTTCATGGGCCAAGGCAAAAGAGCAGAGTAGTTATTTAGAGTTCACGAATGAAAATTAAAAGGAGCAAGTTTGGCAGGTGAACACAGATGGGGTGTTCACAATCTTTTAGATTGTAAGCCCTCACAGGCAGGGCCCTCCTTACCATCTTGTCTTGAATTGTATTGTGATTGTAATGTCTTCCTTTTATTGTAAAGCGCTGCACAAATCCTATATAAATCCTGTATAATAATGGTTAACTACCATTCTTAAAGCAAATCTATAACACCACATTTCTTTTTTTTTTTTAGTTTCTGAGTAGGGAAGTATTTGAAGCTCTGTTAGGTTTTTATTGCTTTCCATGTCTTTGCTGGGGAGAGTCAACCTCTCGAATTGTCCTGCTGAACATTGCCACTGAGACAAAAGGTGAAATGAAAACCCAAATGTTATGATTGTCACCAGAAAAAGGAGAGGGAAGTTCCCCCTTCTTACTGTAGATATTCCCTTTCATTTCCTGTTGTGCTTCCAGCACAGAAAGTGATTGGTAAATCTCTCCAACAAAACGTGGCCAGCAAAAAAATACACTTAACGGGGTTCCCTATGCTATCCAAAACTACAACAAAAGTTTTTTTAAGCTTTTTTTTTTTTTAATCGCATACATTTGCTACAGTCTGATACATCTGCTGTAAATATGGAGAGCAATGTGTAGTATTGAACACGATTCCTGGACCTGAAGAGCACAGTGTATACCACAACTGTATTAGTTTATAATAGAGACCATTAGGCTGGGTTCACACCTGGGCGTTCCGAATAGGCACGTTTTTTTGTTCAATGAAACGCGCGTTCGACACGTTTTTTTTAACCTCCCTGGCAGTATGATTTATTTATTTTTTTTTTTCTCTAGCTTTTTTTCGTTTTTTTTTTTAAAAACATTTTTTAAAACTTTTTAAACTTCCCGCCCGTTCTGCCCCCCTGCGACGCGCACGCTCGCAAGGGACGGAAGACGGCAGCGGCCAGAGAACACAGCGGGGATCGCGGACAAAGTAAGACCTACGCTGTATTCCCGAGTGTGGCCCGGGGTTACCGATTTGTTAACCCCGAGCCACACTTGGGAATACCAATGGATAAGTGCTGAAATACGCCCCAAAGAAGCTCCTGTACTATTTCGGGAGTAGGGCGGAACCATGCCCATAGGATTTCACTGCTTGAGCGCTTTTCCGCACTACGATCAGCGCTGAAAAACGCCCAGGTGTGAACCCAGCCTTAAGGTGATACAGTAAGCCATGCACACAATGAGAAAGTGATTTATTATGTAGCACTGGGGTCCCAGGTTTGATTTGAACCAAGGCCCCATATTTGCAGATCTTTTGTATTTTCACTGTGTTTAGACCTGTTCTTTTAGATGCTCTTATCACATTGATATTATCTTGTTCTTTCCACTTTTTGAAATAGTTACTTCTGTGCTCACTGTAAAGAGCTGCCAAATATGTACATACATATATTCATACAACTAACCATTTACTGAACTCTGTTACATGTATGTGTGATTTTATTTGCCAGGCGGGCTCCTCACAAGGCACAACACAAAGTCTGTCAGTGGTAAAAGTTTTGAACGCCAGTGAAGTTGCGAGTCTCACAGCTAACCAAACTTTGGTTAAACTTGGAGGTATGATGAAGAGGGTCTGTTTTTAATAATGTTCTAAATACAATTGGTTTTGGTGATATATTTCTTTTAAATTTTTTCCCCAGTTTTTTTTATTAATCTACATATAAGATTATTTGACAGATTTGTCAGATGGGTGATGTTTCGATCAGCACTTCTTTTAAAGGAAATTTTGGAGGCTGCTATTGCTTACTTCCTTCTGAAAATGCTAGTTACCTGACTGTGTCAGGCTTTAATCATTTTAAACACTGACTTGAAAAAACATAATCAATGACATACAAAGCCATTAGACCAATCTGCAACCCAAGGAAGTGGTATTTTTGTAGGGGGAATAGGGTCAGCAATGAAAGCCTTGATGCAAATTCCTTTAGAGTGACCATGTTGCTGTAGTAAAGTTCCCCAGGGAATGCTTACCTGTAAAACAGGAATGTGAATACTTGCTTTTTGCTTCCGAACACTGCTCTGTTTAGTAGGAATTATCCCCTGATGTCCGCTAGCAAACCAACACTTTCAGTAGTATTGATCCTCGGGGTCCCCCAAAGCTCTTACTGGTTCCTCTAGTTGACCTCTACATCAATACTGTTTACATTAGTGAGGTGAATGTGTAGGAGAACCATCAGTTTTCAAAATGTTACCTGTTTTGCATTAAGCCACTAGACCCAATTTACATTGAATTGTAGTTATTTTATACTGCAATGGCACCTTGACTTGTTTAGGCTGCTATAAAGAGTTGGCCTTTACTTGCTGGCAAGTGAACGTTTTGCACTGTGTTCTTTTTTCCAAGACAAGTCTTACATGCTCTTGGACAAGGTATCACTCTTACTTTCCTAACCTCACTACTTCCTGTGTTTTCTATCAGGAGAATCTCGTAAGCTTGATAGTCAGAAGAAACAGGAAAAAGCCAATCGTATTGTGGCTGAGGCCATTGCCAGGGCTAGAGCTAGAGGGGAGCAGAATATTCCTCGTGTTCTGAATGAAGATGAGCTTCCAAGTGTCCATGCCGATGATGATGATGCAAGTAGGAAGAAGAAGAAGAAAAAGAGGGGTGAACCGGGTCATGGCTTATGTACTGATAAGTCTAAAAAATCCAAGGGGAGCAGCAGCTCAAGATCCAAGAGCAAATCGAAGCCTAGGTGAGCAGAAGTGTATGAGTGTTTGTACAGTATATTTTATCCTTGACATTTCTGACAGTAAAATTTATGGTGATGTCATCAAGTTATTACCTTTAGTCCCTATGGTGACTGTTATTTAAAGAATAAGTGTACCATTTTTTTAAATTTTGTATTTTATATTTTTTTGGGGGTTGGGGGAGAGGTCCATATGCTGCAAAATAAATTCCATTATGGCTCATTTTGTGTTCGCAGAAACTTTAGTTATCACAGGTCGGTCTGAACAAAACCTGGTGCACTGGCTTAACAAAATTCTCAGTAGTACTTAATTGAAATGGCGGTGATGTGATGAGACGTGATCATGTTTCATGTTACACCTCGAGTATGAATGTACCATGAAACATAGTATTAAAAGTAAAGTTATCCTTTAAAGAAAAAAACAAACAAACCTAATTTTGAACTACATGGGATGCTTTTAAAAAATGCCGTATGTGTACACACAGCTAAGCTTGTCCTTTTAAGGTTTAAGCCTATAGTCACTATTACATTTTACAACATCAAAGGTTCCTCTCTGAGATGATAAAACACTTGGAATCGTGGATTCCTTTTAACAAAGAATCTGAGTACAGGATGTGTTTAGGCAGTCTTGATGCATCTCAGCATTCCAATCACTTACTCTGTAGTATTTACAAATAAAAGGAAGCCGCCATGGGGCAAACCATGTTTTTATTTTTTTATTTATATGCTATAATAAATTAAGTCAGGGGTGGACAAATTTCAATCAAATTCAAGAGCCATTCTGTCCAATCTAGGAGCCAGAAGAACTTTGTTTGGAGCCAGCTCCATTGACTACAACTAGAGAAAACCTCAAAGTTTTTAGGCACCAACTGTCATTTTTAAGGAGCATTGGCTTAGGCCCCATTCACACTGAGCGACATGAAAATCGCGCGATATTGAGCGACTTGTCGCAACTTTTTCCTATTGGGCTGTATGCAATCAGGAGCAATATCGCTCGAAATCGCTCGAAAAAAGGGTCATGTAGGAGCGACAAGCTACCAGCGACGAGCTACAAGCGATATTGAGCGACGAGATGTGAACCGCTCCATTGAAATGGATTTGAGAAGCTACATAGAGCGATATCGCGTGGAAATATGAGCGATATCGCTGCAAAAATCGCGCGATAAATCGCTCAGTGTGAACGGGGCCTAAGTGGCTCCTGGGATTTGAACAACCCTGAATTAAGTGAATTGTTACCACTGTTTATTCATTCAAACATAATGGAGTTATGTGGGTGCCATTTAAAATTAAGTTGATAGGATAGTAAATATAAAGAGATATGAAGGACATTTGGTAGGTAACTGACCTGGAGCTAGCATTAACCTATACTGTGTCCTCCCATGACCCAAACCTCGGCATATAGCGGGCTTTTGCCCGCTATGTGCTGAGAGCGCTGCAGCCAGAACAGATCCTGACAATGCTGCCGAGATCCAGCGGGCTGATTGACAGCCAACTCTGCCTCTCTAGAAGTGGTACCAGCTGTGCCCACACCCTCCCCTGTCCGTCCCTGCAATCGGCGTTGGAATAACGGAGAGTGGAGGAGGTAATCCCTGCAGGGTGCAGTGACTGCAGGTCGCTGCTCTTTCCATGTAGAGGGTGGAGAAGTGAGCAGATCGGTATGTTTTTGCTCACTACCTGATCAATAGAGACGACGTGTGACATGTCACACGTCGGCTCTAACTATGGGGTCGAGTGTAATTCACTCATCTCGTAGTTCTCCTTTTAAGATCAGGAAAGTCCTACTATAGAGCTCCTAATCTGCATGCTTGTTCTGGTTCATTGATTTAGAAAGTAGCCATGGAATTAGCAGAAGAGCCAGGTGACTGGTATATATTTAGTAGAAGAGGACATCAGTGGCAGTGTCCCACACAATCGGGAATGGTTAAAACACCTAGCCATTTTTTTAATGTTTTTGCATTATCCGTATCTGACCAGGGATAGCCGTTAAAAGCATATTGCTTAACTTGTTAATATAATTTATGAACAATAGTTGCCTTATTGAATCTTCTGAAAAATGATCTGTCCCGATATTTTAGTACAATCACTCCAATTGTTGGGAAGAAGAGGAAGCGCAACCCATCATCTGATAATTCTGAGGCAGAAGTGCTACCATCTCAGGCTTCTCCAGTAGAGGATGAAGATAGTGTTCAGGTACTTTAATTATCATTTCAGCCAACGTGGAGGGTTTTCATATTTGTATCCTAGCCAGCCTGGGAAAGGGGGGGGGGCTCATAATTGTATCACAGCCAACCTGGGGGTATTTATATAGGTATCTTTCCCAACCTGGTGGGTTTTCATATTTGTATCTCAGCCTACCTGGGTGGGGGGGATCCTATTTGTATCTCAGTCAACCTGGAGAAGTGGGGTCATAGTAATCTACAAGTGTGCTGTTTCCCGAACCCCAGTTCCTATGTTTTCCTGCATAGTTGCGTCGCTTAGCCTTGTTTCCACGTCGGACGTATGGCTTTTTGGCTGCAAGGCTGCAGGAAACTGGCAGCAGGTACTCTGGACTGATGAGTTGAAATATTTGGCTGTAGCAGGAGGCAGTTTGTTCACCAACGGGCTGGAGAGCCGTACAATAATGAGTGTCCGCAGCAACAGTGAAGCATGGTGGAGGTTCCTTCCAAGTCTGGGGCTGCAATTCTGCAAAAGGAATTGGAGATTTGGTCAGGATCAATGTTGTCCTCAATGCTGAGAAATACAAGCAGATATTTATCCATCATGCCATACCATCAGGGAGGCGTGTGATTGGCCCCAAATGAATTCTGCAGCAGGACCACGACCCCAAACACACAGCCAATGTAATTTAAGAACCATCTTCCATGTAAAAGAAGAACAAGGAGTCCTGGAAGTGATGGTTTGGCCCCCACAGAGCCCTGACCTCAACATCATCAAGTCTGTCTGGGATTACATGAAGAGACAGAAGGATTTGAGGCAGCCGACATCCACAGAATATCTGTGTTTAGTTCTCCAAAATGTTTGGAACAAAATATCTGCTGAGTTCCTTCAAAAACTGTGTGTGAGTGTACCTAGAAGAAGGCAAAGGCTGGTCACTCCAAATATTGATTTGATTTGGATTTCTCTTCTGTTCATTTTACTTTCCATTTTGGTAATTGATCAAAATAAACTAAAAACACTTTTACTTCTGAAAGCATTCTTACTTCATTTGTTTTTTTTACACCTGCCTAAAACTTTTGCACGGTACTGTATATATGTAACCTAAACACAAATTCCTGTTGTTTTTGTTTTTCTTTTTTCCTTTTAGAAGAGACGATCCAATCGACAAGTGAAACGTAAGAAATACACTGAGGATCTAGACATTAAAATTACTGATGATGAAGATGATGAGGAAGTTGATGTTACTGGTCCAGTAAAGTGTGAACCAGTCCTTTTGCCTGGGCCTTTTCCAATGCCTGATGGCGAGATGGTTCCCTCCATGCAGTTCTTTGTGGTGAGAAAGTTGCTAGTTCTTGTGGGAGCAAGCCCTGGGGTGGTGTGCGTGTGTGTGTGTGCCTGTAATATATATTTTGTTAATGTTCTTGCAGAAAACCTGCATCATAAGGCACCAGTTCCAAGTTAAACCTAAATTACAAAGCACAGGGGGCGCCCTGTCCCACTTTCTAGTAGTGCATAGTGGTGACCTGTGTAAAAAGTAGGTCTGCATTGGTGGGGGTTATGGGCAGGAAACCCTAGCCCTGACAACCAAAATTTGTCTAGCCCTGACTATGTACATTTAAGATAAGATATACTTAAGATATAAATACATTTTATAGCCTTCACCTCTTTTTGCTGTTTCTGTTATCATTTGTTGGGGACTACCCCAGGAAAGTATTAGGCCATCCAACGAGTGGTAAAAGAAAACAATATTTAGGTTTTATTTTTCCCCGCATAGGACTTTGTGTCCATCCTCCTAGGGACAGTGCTCATAACCCAAGGGTTTCCTGTGTCCCTCAGTGCACCCCATAGAGATTAAAGATTAAGGTGAACAAAAAAAGAAATAAACCATTTTCACTGTCCATGTCCAGCATATTAGAGAATGAAAAGTGTTAGGTCTGTTGAGTTGGTTGCATATAGCATGTATTTGGTAATTGTCTGCTAATGTTATTCTGTGGAACTTGGCAAGATGGCAGCACCCAGTGGCTGAATAACTGGGTTTCTGGGGATAGACCAGTGTTTTTGTTCACCGATTTTCACCGGTGAGTTGTTTTATAGACTTAAAGTTCATATTTGGCAATGGTTTCTAGAAGCGTTGACAAAGGAAAGGGTTGATTTTGGCACACAAGATTGTTTAACCTTATTTTATTCATTTTATGTTAAAATAAGGCAACAATTTTATTTTTTTTCAAAAGGAAAATCCAAGTGAAGAAGATGCTGCAATTGTGGATAAAATACTTTCTATGCGCACGGTTAAGAAGGAGGTAACTAAAATAAAGACCTAACAGATCCTTCCAATATTCTCTTACTGATTTTATATATATAGCGAGGTTAACATTTTATCATTGATTTACTCATGTTTTAGCTACCCACGGGGATCTATATTGATGCAGAAGAATATTTTGTCAAGTATAAGAATTAGTAAGTAACTTTCTCTATAATGCTTGCTTCCAAACATATGAGTCAATTAGTAATCTGTATGTTCCATGGTTTCAGCTCCTATTTGCACTGTGAGTGGGCCACCATTCAGCAGCTTGAGAAAGACAAGCGCATCCACCAAAAGCTCAAGAGGTTTAAAACCAAGATGGCTCAAATGCGTCATTTCCTCCCAGAGGATGAAGAGTCCTTTAACCCAGACTATGTTGAAGTGGATCGAATCCTGGATGAATCGCATAGTATTGATAAGGACAATGGGGAAGTTAGTTTGATCTTTATTATTCATTGTTCTTTTATTACTGTTTGCTTTTGTGTGCAAAATAAACAAATCTTTAGTAGTTCTACAACCTTCAAGCATTTAGTGTAGTAGTTAACTATTTCATTGTAAAAAAAAAAATGCAATACTTGGTTATTTTTTTCACAGAGCTGCAAATTTTGTGACCAGTGTTAATTTAAGTGTATGTCTAGCCAAAAGTAGGACTGGTCAGCTTCATATTGTTTTCTGTGTCTCCTCCTAAAGTGATTCAGCCTCTCCTATTTGCCCTGGTTACCTTTTATCACCAGGACAGAAGGTGATGCATAATTCAAAATGTAACAGTTGTGCCAGGTGGAAGGGTTCCCCTTACCTCCTATCCAAGGACAACTGTTCCAGTGACAGGTGTCTGAGGGATTTCTTCTTGCTTTGATTCAATTCCTACTGGGGGAATGTATCAAAACTGGAGCAGACCAATTCTGGAGCAGCTGTGCATGGCAACCAATCGGCTTCTCTCTCATTTTCAAATCTTAACTGAACAAACTGGAGAAGCTGATTGGTTGCCATGCACATCTGCTCCAGATTTTGTCTGCTCCAGATTTGATAAATTCCCCTCATTGTGTTTCCTGGATGCGAGGTGAGGGGAAATGTTGCCATTAGGACACAGCAGGCAAAGAAATAAACAAAACGCACATTTTGACAGGTGTTCTAGTGTGAGATAAACCTTCGACTTTATTTTTGCAGCCTGTGGTGTATTATCTTGTGAAGTGGTGCTCGCTGCCCTATGAAGACAGCACCTGGGAGCTTAAAGAGGATGTAGATGAAGGGAAGATTGATGAGTTTAAAATAACTGAGTCCCGACTGCCGAATCTCAAGCGTGTGGTATGTGACTGCTTGTGAATTATTTCAGATCAACTTTAAATGTCCTAACATGGGTAACTAATTTTATTGTATTGGTGCATCTTAAGGCACGACCTGCAGCTACTTCATGGAAGAAGTTAGACCTGACCCGGGAATACAGAAACAGTAACCAGTTAAGGGAATACCAGTTGGAGGGGGTCAATTGGCTACTGTTCAATTGGTACAACAGGTGAGAAAAGATGACTGTTATGCTGATCAATGTAGAGGTGTTACATATTTAAACTGGTGACCAAGGTTTGCTTTTAATATACAAAATACATTTTATAGAAGTAGTTTAGGACTATCACATTTTAGGATTTAGATTGTGTGATTGACAGTTATCAGTTATGCATGGATCAGTTAATTTTGGTTTTTTTCCAATTCAAAATAAGGGGAAAACCAGGCATGAATGTAAGGACGTCCCCCTAAATAATCTATATATAGGACACGTATTACATCAAACCTCTCCAGGTGCAGGACGTATCAATGCAAAACTGATCACCTGGGATGGTTGAGATGTATCCTGCATCAACAAATATACAGTGTGTGTGTGTGTGTGTGTGATTTTATCTATCTATATCACACACACAAATATAATTTTAGATTAGTCCACATGTATATAACAAAGTGCACAACAAAATATTGACAACTGTATATGTACATGTTCCCTCCAATGTTGCACACACAAAAAAAGTGTCTCATGTGTCTTCCCAAAGTTTGGCAACGAGGCCCATGGATGCACCTTGAATATAAAAAGCAATACTTTTAATACAGAGCGCCTTCCTCTAATGTAAATTTTAAAATCACGCGTCATGTCTGCAGTATTGGATACGGTTTTTCAAATGCGCTTATATATGTGCCCCTCTGGAGGTACTGTGTATATTACTTCATAAATGACTGGCACCACTGTGTCAATTGAGTCCTGTACTACCTCTCATGCAGAGATGATCAATGAAAACGATTAACACATCTTGTTTTCTTAGTCAACAGAAAGAATGTGAGAAATAGGTAGGGTCTCTACTGTGCATCTTGGGAACAAACGTATATGTTCCCTGGTATACAGTAAACCATTTGTCACCACTGTATAAATGTATTTCCAAGCCTCCTCCAGCATGACAAATCATCACAGTTGTGGTCTAACCCATGCCTCTGGATATTTAAGAGGTTCCCAGCACCCAAACTGTCTCCGGTAACTGGGTATTCTGCTGATGGTGTCGCTTTTTCTGTAAGTATTTGGAACCATCCATTGTAGCTTGTGCTACTGAGCGGCTTACACAATTGTTTTCAGCAGAAAAGAAGGAGCATACTAAAAGGTACCCCAAGGCTGGTTGAAAAGGAGAATACAATTTTTATTATATATACCGTATTTTGCGCTCTATAAGCCGCACTGGACCATAGGACGCAGGGGTTCTGTGACAGCTGTAGTTAGTCACAGTTGAGACAGTTGGCCACGGTCTCAGAAATCACACAGAGCAGGCCAAGAACGGACGTTCTTCGTCTGCTCTAGGGGCTCTATGGTGAGCTCCTATGCCGTGGTCACGGGTCCCCCAGAGGAGCAGGGGACCCCGAAAACCACGGCGGGAGGGTTCCCCCGGACACGTTCGCCGCCGCTGCTCGATTTGATACAAGTTATCTAATTAGATCACTTGTATTAAACGAGTGGCGGCCCCACGCTGTACATTTAGCTTTGCTTGTCCGGAGCAGGGCTAAATGTGCAAAAAAGACTACTCGCCCGAAACTGCATGAAGTGCGTCTTATGGAGCGAAAAATACGGTGTGTGTGTGATTTTTTTTTTATTTTATTTTTTAAATCTTCAGATTTTATATACTAAAAAATACTTTTTTTTTAAAGTGACTATCTAGGGCTGACATAGAGGACTATGCTGTTTAAAATGTATAAACTACCCACTTTGAGTGTTCTAACAACTATTCGATTTAATATAAATGTTATTCTTGCAGGCAGAACTGTATTCTGGCTGATGAAATGGGTTTGGGCAAGACCATCCAGTCTATCACATTTCTGCAGGAATTGCATAATGTTGGGGTACAAGGTCCTTTCTTAGTAATTGCTCCTCTTTCCACTATTACCAACTGGGAAAGGGAATTCGCCAGCTGGACTCAAATGAACACCATTGTGTACCATGGCAGCCTGGCCAGCCGACAAATGATCCAACAGTACGAGATGTATTGCAAGGACTCTAAGGTCAGTTGTGTGCACTGTGTAGCCTAAGTATGTCTCTTGGTTCATGCATCCTGGTGGGGGAAATTCTGTGGGCTGTTAAGGTGGCCATACACCTTACAATTATCTGCAGATTTTCTGTGGTCAGATGGAAAAGGTGCAACAGATTCCTCCGCTAAACTGTGTGGATGGAGTAATCTCCACCTGGGCCAATCTGTTGCACTTTTGTCATCTGACCACAGAAAATCTGCAGATAATTGTAAGGTGTATGGGCACCTTTTTAGGCAGAAATTTTGTGAGGAAGAAAAAAAGGCAAAGCTTTTTTTTTTTGTCTGAATGCTTATTGAGTTACACAATAGATCACTGGGCATTATTCCTGCCTCTAAGAAATCCACTGAACGTAAAGCATAAAGGTAAGCTCCCTCTCTTGTGGACTTTATTCCTCCCCCTTCACAGGAAGAGAGAGCCCAGTTTAGGATCATACTGTATGTTTGTAGTCCATATTTGTACTAGAAGATGGGAGGTTCTTTCATACTCCACCTACCCACGCTTTTGTGCTCTGCTCGTTATATTATTTTATTTATAATCTATAGTACTACATGTCCAATGACCGTGTCTGTCATTTTTCTTTGATGGCACTAACCTCTCTGACTGTTCACAGGGTCGTCTCATTCCTGGAGCCTACAAGTTTGATGCTTTAATCACAACTTTTGAGATGGTGCTTTCCGATTGCCCTGAGCTACGTGAAATTGAATGGCGTTGCGTCATTATTGATGAAGCTCATCGTCTGAAGAACAGAAACTGTAAACTGTTGGACAGTTTGAAGCACATGGATCTAGTGAGTTTTTAGCAAATGTTTTTCTTTTCTTGCGATTTCTATGATTCAGTATGAATTTAACTGTCAAATCATTTGGAATTTTCTAGGAGCATAAGGTCCTCTTGACTGGGACACCATTACAGAATACTGTGGAGGAGCTGTTCAGTCTGTTACATTTTCTGGAGCCTAGTCAGTTTGCCTCCGAAGCAGAATTTCTGAAGGATTTTGGAGACCTGAAAACTGAGGAGCAGGTGTCAACATTTCTTTTCTCTGAAACTGAACTATGCACACTATATTTTATCATATTCCCATCCACATTTATTTTAATATTTATTACAGGAATTTTATATTGCGCTGTTAATTTTAGACAGCACTTTACACCCTGTACATGTAAATCATTGCCTGCTTTTCAGGAGCCTACTATCCATGGTTCTTATGCATGCATACATGCATGCATACATACATACATACATACATACTATCACACACACTAGTTCAATTTAAACCGCAGACTTTTAACCTACCAGAATGTCTTTGGAGTGTGGAGGGAAACAGTAGTACCTGGAGGAGAGCATGCAAGCTCCTTTCAGATAGTATCCTGAAGGGATTCAAACGGTGGACACGTGCTGCAAGGCAAAAGTGCTACCATTGACCCACTCTTAGCCACTCACATTTCTGCTTGATATTGACTATTTGTGTCATCCATTTTTTTTAGCTGCTTTCCTTAGGCTCCCTCACATTGCAGTGCTCAGACTGTGTAATTATACAAGTTAATATTTTTGTGGATGTTGGTTAGTTTTGATCAACAACAAAACCATGAACTCTTATGCTTTTTCATAAACCACATGTTGGAGTTAAAAGTGAACTATGGTCAAACCTTTTTTTAGGCCGTGGTTTTGTTTAGGATGACAGGAGGACATTTACTATTGTCCTCACATGACCCACACCTCAGCATATATTGTCAGGATCTACCCCACTGCCTGATTGACAGCTGGCTCTGCCTCTCCAGACCCCTCCCCTGTATGTCCCTCCAGTCAGCACTGAAATGGAGAGGGGGAACCACTGCCGGGAGCTGTGATGACAGTCACCGCTCTCTGCAGGGCGAAGATCAGGAAGTGAGCGATCAGCGGAATGTGATCACTCAGTTCTCGATCAATAGAGCCGACGTGTGACCGCTTCAGTGTCGCACGTTGGCTCTAACTATTGGGGGTGAGTATATTGCACTCACCCCATAATTCTCCGTTAAGCAGAAAATAATAAGATGTAATATGTCTGTAATGGACTTTTTTTTTTTTTTTTTGTCATTCGCAGGTGCAAAAGCTTCAAGCCATCTTAAAGCCTATGATGCTAAGAAGGCTAAAGGAAGATGTGGAGAAGAATCTTGCACCCAAACAAGAGACCATCATCGAAGTGGAATTAACGAACATTCAGAAGAAATATTATAGGGCCATTCTGGAAAAGAACTTTTCTTTTCTTACTAAGGGGGCTAGTCAGACCAACACTCCCAATTTGCTTAATACCATGATGGAGCTTCGCAAGTGCTGCAACCATCCCTATCTCATCACTGGTATGAGACAAATATATGCATGACCCTAACCGTGCTAGCTTTTAAGACATTTTCTAAAATCTTTCTAAGCATCTTTTTATGCAATATGTTTTTTTATCATAACTAGGAGCGGAAGAAAAGATCATGTCTGACTTCCGAGAAGCGACACCAGTGATTCCTCTTGACTTCCACTTGCAAGCAATGGTGCGCTCCTCTGGCAAATTAGTTCTAATAGACAAACTTCTACCCAAACTTAAAGCTGGAGGGCATAAAGTTCTCATCTTTTCCCAAATGGTGCGGTGCTTGGATATATTGGAGGATTATCTCATTCAGAAAAGGTAAAAATGTGCACACTATGTTTAAGCCATTGTTTTGTAGTAGGCTTTCTAGCTTTTTTTTTTTCTGTAGTGAAAACTGGTATGAAGTAATTGTTGTAAAAGGTTCTAATGTGGGAAGTTTTTTTTTTTTGTTTTTTTTTTTTCACATATATTTTATTAACTTTTAATCACCTTGTACTTTACACCTTAACCTAAATCAAGAGTCATCCTTACTTTTTTTCTATTTTTCTTTGTAGTCCTGCACTGATTTCTACTTGGAAAAAGCCGTAAAATACCCTTTTCTTAAAGGAATTGCTTTTCCTGTCCTATCGCTTTCATGCCCAATGCTGGCATCAAATTATTAAAAGCTGCACCCCTCCCCCAAATTCAAGTAAAAGAAAGGGGTGTGTCTAAATCTAATAGGTCTAATAGATTAACGAACTCCAGGAAAATGTTTTTTTATCCTACTGTAACTAGCTTTTGAAAGTATTAAAAATATGTGCTTACTTTTCTGTATAGCAGTATGGTCTTCCAGAAATCCATGGTACAAGTCTGTGCTTCTGCCATCTGCGCCTCCTTCTGGGCGGGGCTCTGTCGCACCTCCCTCCCTAAGACTGGGCGGGGCTCTGTCGCACCTCCCTCCCTAAGACTGGGCAGTGATGGAAAGTTCGAATCTTTTACATGAATTGGTTCATTTCCAACTGTTCATTCAAATGAACCCAGTCATGAATCGATTCATTGGTTCACTTTATGAATCTGCTGATAAGCAAGTGAACTGAAGCTCAGGAGCTGACTCAACCTAAAGGGTTAAAGTATCAATGTAAAGGAGGATCTCCTCTCATCCAGACTCCATGTGTCATCTCTTTGATCTCCCTGCAAGGCTGTCTATCCCTTACCACTGCTGCAACCTGACAAATCAGTGTACTGTGTTGTACTGGAGACTCATGATTCCTTGATTCAGTGTACTGTGTTCTACTGGAGACTTGTATGATTCTTTAAATCCGTGTACTGGTGTACTATTGGCTGAGAACTGTTGTAAGTTGTGATTCTCAGTGTACTGTTAGCTCTCTGATTGGTTGCAGGAAGGGGATGAGCTCTGTCACCTTAAGATCATCTTCCCAGAGCTGTTGTGTTTATGATGCAACACTGAACCCTTTCAAATGAATCCGTTCAGTCGAATTTAATAATTTCAACCATTTCACTGAAAAGAATCAATTTAAAAGAAAGATTTCTTCATGAATTGGACATCACTATTCCACACAGCCAGATGCTGTTAGGAGGAGGTAGGATGACTTTAAAGCAGAGGAATTTGTCATGCAGAGGCACCTGTAATATGTATGTGCAGTCACAAAAAAAAACCTAAAGTCACTGGAGCATACAGCACTTAGTAGCTCTTCCCATCTCCACTCTCTGCTCTGCCTATACATGCCTCCCACTTCTATTTCACAATGCCTCATGGGAGATGTAGTCTGCTCTCTATGCCAGCCAGGATATGACACATACTGGTTACCTAGATCCCCCGCCTGGCTGCAGGAAGGACTGATCTAATAATAGGAGGTTGTGACATCACTGGCAGCTAAAAACAAGGATTATAAGAAAAGAAAGATCTTTTATGATAAATGGTTAGAGCAATTTGCTTCCTCTGACCTGAGAGGGACCTAAATATATAAAGTTATGTGCAACCCTGAGTTCTTTAAAGAGTGCACTGGCCAGCATGGCTAAACTCTGTTAATGGATTTGCAGTCATATTTACACATCTGTCTGACTATAAATATCTGTATATCATTTGCACTTTATATTGGTCCTAATGATAATTTAGAGGAGAGTGGGGGTTTGGCTTTGCAATTGAATTCTTAAAACAACTTGCGTTTTGTATATGTTTTACCTAGGTATCTTTATGAACGAATTGATGGTAGAGTCCGTGGTAATATGCGCCAAGCAGCAATAGATCGTTTCAGCCGTCCAGACTCTGATCGGTTTGTGTTCTTGCTGTGTACACGGGCTGGCGGGCTGGGGATTAACCTCACTGCTGCAGACACCTGTATCATCTTTGACTCTGACTGGAATCCTCAGAATGACCTTCAGGTAAAAGCTGATATGCCTTTCTGTCACACTTCTTTACCTCTATTTGTGGTACTTCAATTGGAAATGGTTTCTGGATTATATAAGAAAACCAGCAAGCACCATTTGTACCCAAACAGGCCATGTAATGTAATCCCAAAGCAGTTTTGGAAAAACAGTTCCTCCTAATGCTAATTACAGTCATCTAGGCGGTGATGGGTGTAAACTGTATGTGGTCCCACAGCTGCAAGTCGCATTTAACCAGACCCAGAAAGGAGGGGGTGTTCTAGTCTGTTTTAACCGGTACTACCCACATGAAATAAGGGTTGAAACATTTTTTGAGGGGTTTCAGATCCTGCACTCGATAACGTTGTAAACCTTCTTTTTCTGCAACAAGCAGATATGATGATATCTGCTTGTTGCAGAAAAAGGAGGTTAACAATGTTGGTTATTGACTTCAGCAAGACCAGATAAACTGTTTGTTGCTGTTACCTAACTTGCAACTTTGAAATTACCAATTTCCAGGCATTTCTTCTTTCATTTAGTCATATTTATAAGCTGATGGATTTGTTTTCTTGTGTTCAGGCACAAGCACGTTGTCACCGGATTGGTCAGAGCAAGGCTGTTAAGATTTACCGACTGATCACCAGAAACTCCTATGAAAGAGAGATGTTTGACAAGGCCAGCTTAAAGTTAGGACTGGACAAAGCTGTTCTGCAGTCTATGAGTGGACGGGACAATCAATTGAGTGGGGTGAGTATGAGATTTGATAAAGATGAGCAGAGACTTTAAACTATAGTTAGAAATGCTAGAAACTGGATGATGACTACCCTTAGTTATAAAATGGATTTCCATGTTCATCTACAGCCTATCCAGCAGTTTACCAAGAAAGAGATTGAAGACTTGCTACGGAAAGGTGCTTATGCAGCCATCATGGATGAAGATGATGAAGGCTCCAAGTTTTGCGAGGAAGATATTGATCAAATTTTATTGAGGAGAACTACCACCATAACAATAGAGTCTGAAGGAAAAGGTTCCACTTTCTCCAAGGTTGGCATTTTTCATGGCTGTAAAATGTGAAGAGGGTAATTTATCAAAACTGGAGCAGACAGAATCTAGAGCAGCTGAGCATGGCAACCAATCAGCTTCTATCTTTCATTTTCAAAGCTTAACTGAACAAACTCAAGAGAGGTTGATTGGTTACCATAGGCAGCTGCTCCAGTTTTTATAAATTCCCCTTGTTTGATGTATGTTTGTCCCTTTTTAATTATAAAGAACCGTAAATATATAAAGCATTTTGTGAATGGTATACACAAATCAAAGTACTTGGGTCATTTGCTCGGGTACCTTTTACTCCTGTTCATATAGAAGCTCTGTTTATAGGTGAAACTGCATTTTTCTTTAAGTTTCTTCTTGTGTATTCTCATGTCTTCTTTTTTTTTTTTTTGGTAACGTTCTCTTTCTGTATTAGGCAAGTTTTGTCGCATCTGAAAACAGGACAGACATTTCATTGGATGATCCTAACTTTTGGCAAAAATGGGCAAAAAAAGCTGATTTAGATCTAGTTCTGCTTAACAGTAAGGTGAGTTTAACTATCACTAAGATATGGAGATTTTATTTTTAGACACATTTAAAAGTGGTATTTAATAAGGGGCCGTAGTGTGCAAAAGCAGTCATATCAAACCAATAATAATAGGTGCAGGAATAGCAGTCCAAGGTCAGATTACCTTGCACATGCTAATCCTGCTATCGGTAGTCTTGGTTGTCGGCAAGTAGTGAGTTTGTTTCCTTTTTATAAGAGGAGTGTTTGGTAAACTATTTAATGTATACTTGCAGATATTCCCAAGGAGACTTATGAGGTGAGTGATTTCCACTCATCCTCCTAGTTAAAGCCGACCTGTGTCAAGGAAGCTGTCGCAGGTCGGCTATATTGACCAGGAAGTGAGCGGAAACGTGCAGCCGATCCGCTTACTTACAGATCGTCTCCCTGCAGTGAGTGGTGACTGTCGGGGGGGTGAGCACCGCTGGCTTTGGCTCTAGATAGGCAGAGCCAGCTGTCACTCACGCAGCTGGGTGGATCCAGACAGTGTTGTCAGGATATGTCCCGGCTGCGGCACTCGCAGTATATCGCGGACGATAGCTCGCTATATACTGAGCTTTGGGTCACGCGAGGAGGTTAGTATGTCCTCCCGTGACCCTAAAGAGAATTATGGGGAAAAACACTTACCCCATAGTTCTCTTTTTTTAATCACTTTTGAATATCTTATTTATTCTTGTACCTAGCTTATGGCAAGCTTGAGGCATAGCGCCAGGCTTTCCACAGGCCAATTTACTGCTATGTTGGGAATTACCTTGATAGTCTGTTGTTATTTTACCTAAATGGCAGGTGATCAGATGAGATGCACACAGCAGAATGGCTGAGCAAAGACAAGCCTCCCTCCCTCTTGCATAACAGTTGGGGACCTGTCCGAATTAGCCAGTTAGAAGTGGTCTACAAACTCAGGCAGTGCTTGGCCTTATTAGGTGCACACTGTTATAGACGCTTTTATACCAGATTATTTTTTTAATAAAACTGTTAATGTGTAAAAAAAAAAAAAAAAAAGAGCTTCCCTTTAAAATATGATATAGTTTGATGGTATAGATAGTATGCCTTCAGTATTTGCAAATCTGAAAAGCTAAGTAGCTAAAGTACAGAAAAGAAACACATTTAGTACATCTCCAGAATACATGCATATTCCCCTATGTTGTATCCCTTTAAATATGCTGCAATTACATGGAAATAACTGTTGATATGCCAGCAATATAGTATGCTCCTATTTTCCCCTTAGGCATGACAACACCGCTCTGAATTCCTAAGCATGTGGTTTTAGTCCTGCCTACTTTATTCCTGATGGATTACATAGAACACAGCCCTCTCCTTACCTCCCCCCTCCCTCTTCTCCTCAAAATCCACAGGTAGTTTTTGCCCTTGTTAAAGCGATAGAACAAAAAAAACAAAAAAAAACTTTCAGTTGTATTATTTAGCAGACTCAAACGGAGCAAATAAAAGAAGTTCATTTGTGGGGGGTTCAAACCGACTGTAAAATAAAACTTATCCCTTGCAGTGAGGCTACCCTACTGCAAGGGTTAAGTCCTTGTTTTGGTCTAGGGTCTAAAATAAAAAAGTTATACCCATCTGAAACTCTGTCCCACCTTGCTGCTAGAGCAGTCCCTGCAGCCTCTCACCCTCCGCTCCGGTTGTCTAAGGATCTGCGAGTCATTACGTCTAATACACTGTAATAGATGGGAGGATACGGTCTAGCAGCCAGGTGGGATTAAGGGTCACATAAGTATATATTTTTTTACATTTTACACCTGAGACCAAAACTAGCACCTAACCCCTGCAGTGCGAGGTAGCCCCACTGCAAGGGTTAAGTTTTATTCTGCTTGGAGTTCTTTAAAAAGGGAAGGATGGGTCGGGTTGGGTTTTGAACTGAAGAAATAGTTAGCTTGTGGAAACCTTGAGAAATGAATTCCGTTCTCTTTCTTACAGAACACACTGGTGATAGACACACCCCGTATCAGGAAACAGACTCGACACTTCAGTAATAAGGATGATGATATGGTAGAATTTTCAGATCTAGAAAGTGATGATGATGACCGTCCACGAGCTCGACGACATGATCGCAAAAATGGTTATGGTCGTACAGACTGCTTCAGAGTAGAGAAGCACCTTCTTGTCTATGGGTGAGAAACTACTTCTGTCCCTCATCTACATCTTAGAGGAGCTGTGTACTTGCATTGGTTTTCTGCAGAAGTGTTTTTTCTCAAAATGTTAATAAATAATACTGTTAACTTGTCCAATATTTATTAGATGGGGTCGGTGGCGTGACATATTAAACCATGGCCGCTTCAAACGAGGTATGACAGAACGGGATGTGGAGAAAATCTGCAGAGCCATCTTAGTTTATTGTCTATTGCACTATCGGGGCGATGAGAACATTAAAAGCTTTATTTGGGACCTGATCAGTCCTGCAGAGAATGGCAAAACCAAGCAGCTGCAAAACCACTCAGGTAATTCAAGTTCCACTAGTCCAATGACCGATTTCACATAATGCTGCTTGTTCGAAAACCTAGAAATAGGGCAGTTAATGTACATTGTCATTATTTACACCCTCAGGTCTTTCTATTCCTGTACCTCGTGGACGCAAGGGCAAAAAAGTAAAGTCTCAGAGCAGCTTTGATATACACAAAGCAGACTGGATTCGTAAATACAACCCTGACACTCTGTTTCAAGATGAGGGTTACAAGAAGCATTTAAAGCACCAATGCAACAAGTAAGAAGATATAATTGTTTCTAGCTGCTAAAACTAAAATGTGATAATCCTGAAATTATCCTTAAACCGAGATCTCAGCATTTTTTCATCTGGTCCAGAGGTCATTTATCCAACCTGGATATTTAGTGTTGAGTGCCCATTGGCAATCCTCTTCTTGCCTATTAAGCACTAATATCAAATGCTGACTTATCTTTGTTTACCTGTGCATTACTAGTCCTTCGAGCCAACACCAGGCTTCCGAGGGTCATGACCGGATCGTTTGCACTCCCTATATGGAAAAATAAATGCACAGTATTGCTTAAAGTTGACGTAATCTGATTTGATACTTGCACATTATGGGACACTTAATGTGAGCCCTTCTCCAGTGGTGTTGGATTGATCTTCAGTCCTTAGCAGCATCCCCCACCACCGTCATCTTTGCTGCTGAGACTCTCTTCAGCCTTTGGGTGGCCACTGATGATGGAACACTCGTGTGTGCGCGCAGTGTGCTCAATTGGGTTTATTGTGTACACAGTATGGCACATGTGCTGCCGGAGGTGGGAGGAATAATTTTGTTGTTGGCAGAAGACTGTGCATGTCTCTCTTGCCGACAATCCCTACCTCCCAGCAATTTTTTTTTTCTTTCAACTTTTCTTCTGCTTTAAAGCTAATCTCCAGGTAGATACAAGAGGGAAAAAATATTGAGGCTCTGTTTTCATCATTAAATGTATTCTTTGTTTAAATGCTACTAGGCTAAGGCTGGCGATACACTGTTAGAATTTCAGATTCACAGGAATCGCCTGAAGCTCTTGCATTGTGTGGATCTGCCACTCGATCAACTTTTTGTAGAAGGAGACGCATCACCCAAACATTTTTGGCCGTGAAGTGCCTGCAGCCAACAGCTGCAATCACTGTTCGTGTATTCTGACAGCGGCAGACACAGCTCTCAGAAATCAATAGCCACAGCGTGCAATTTATCCATCCATGCTGTGTAGCGTGAATGAAGGGATCTGTTAGATTTATTTAGTTCAGCCTGGAGGATGAATAAAAATGTATCTTTTGTGGTATGGCCAGCTTAAGTACCTGAATCTGATTAGTTATCCACAACCTCTTGCAATCTCCTATGCTTAGCACTAAAGGTGCCCATATACCTTACAATTATCTGCAGATTTTCTGTGGTCAGATGGAAAAAGTGTAACAGATTGGCCCAGGTGGAGATTACTCCATCCACACAGTTAAGTATAGATGGAGGAATCTGTTGCACCTTTTCCATCTGACCACAGAAAATCTGCAGATAATTGTAAGGTGTATGGCCTGCTTCAGACTGAGACAGGGAGGAGTAGTGCTGGAAGTAAGGCAGGTGCATTGCACATATGTTGACAAGGAACCTGCTGTTGGGAGGAGAGAACGGGGAAGTTTCTTAAAGGAGAACTATGAGGTGAGTGCTTTTCACTCACCTCATAGTTCTAGCCGACCTGTGACAATGAGACTGTCACAGGTCGGCTCAGTAGATCGGGAGGTGAGGGAACACATACCGGCGTTCGCTCACCTCTCGATCCTGTCATGGCTCTCTGCCGTGACAGGGGAGGGGCTGGATTCCCCGCTCCGATCCGCCAGCGCTGACAGGCGGAATGGACGGGGGAGGGGGCAGATACAGCTGGCTCTGCCTCTAGATAGAGCCAGCTGTCACTCACGCAGCTCGCGGTATACTGAGCCTAGGGTAACGGGAGGACGCTAGTTTGTGTCCTCCCGTTACCCTAAGGAGAACTATGGGAAAAAGCCTTAACCCCATACTTCTCCTTTTTAATAAGCCTTCTGTTCTGTACAGTTGAGGGTGGAGAGAGGACACTCTGAGTTCCTTAACTGTAAGTGGTGTCTTCCACCTGACTTTGCTTTGTGACAGGGCGGTGTATGTATCCATCCATTCTCAGGAATAGAAGGACATAAATAAAAATTATTTGGCAGGTAAAACCTCAACCCAGATCTATTTTAACTTGAGTAGCTGTTTGCCTGGAGTTCTTTTTTTGGCGATTGCATTATATAACTCCTGTATATTACCAAGTTATGTAGACTACTAATTGCATACTTTATTTAAATGTCCTTTTTATTATTTTTCTTGAGTTAATCACCTATAACTTGTGTATGTTTGCATACACGCTTCGAATAACGTGTGAAAAAAATGATTTACAGCTTTCTTTTAATTTTTGCCCCACAGGGTTCTGCTGCGGGTACGGATGTTATATTATCTCCGGCAGGAAGTGATTGGAAGCCATGCAATGAAGGTGCTTGGAGGAGTTGATGCCAGGTACATTCACTTTTTCAATAAACTTGTGTGTTACGGTTTGCTTTCCTCCTTCAGTCTTAAAGATCGTTTAACACAATGCAGGTGTTGTACTTTTTTCGAAGAAAGCAGGCTAACGAATATCTGCCTTAGCATTTATGTAGTATTTCCCATTGGAATGCAAATTGCCCACTGTGTGTACTGACTCTCTTTTTTCACTTTCATATATCCCTTTTATAGTTTCTGCTTTTTTCCCCATATGCTCACCTAAAGTACACTTTATTTCTACACCATTTCATAACCTATCGAGCATTAATGGCATATTGCAATAAACAGTGGTGTGACATAAAATATTTCAACCAGTTAGAAACTTCTAATAGCCGGCCTACTTTAAGCTACTAAAAGCTAATATGAATAGTTATTAAAGGTAGGCACACTGGTGTTTTGCACCCATCAATAATGCTATCAGTAGTAGAACTGTATTCGCCAACATAAAAATTCCCGATACTTTATGGAATTGGCTCTTTGTTCTTTTGTAGGTGTTGTGGGGCATCCCACACCATAACATTTGTAAATTGTTGGGCTGTGTACTTTTTCTTTGCTATAGTTTCCTTTTTGTGTTAATTCATGAACTCTTATCACAGGGAGATTGACTTATGGGTCCCACAAGTTGATCAAGCAGACTTACCAGCTCTTTGGTGGGACAGAGAGGCGGACAAGTCTTTACTTATTGGAGTCTTTAAACATGGTGAGTTATAACAATACCTGGATTTTTATAATTCAAGCATTTCAGGAAAGCTAAGCCTTTTAAAATCGTATTATACCATTAGAGGCTTTTCATAAAAGAGAACATAAAGGCCTTTGTTTTTTTTGTCAATTGCCATTGCCAGAGGAGTTCCACAATATATACAAGTATCATTGGTCATTTCTGTACATATATTTCAAATCCAAAGTAGGTATAGAGGCACTCGCGTGCAGCACATATAAGTCGAAGCATCACCATTTTATTGTCAATGTTTTGATGGAACCCAGTCCACCTTTCTCAGGACACTAAAACACAATGGTGAACAGTTTAATAAGCCCAAAACCCCACCCACCAACATGATGACATCACACAGTGCAGTGCAAAGGTAAAAAGACACATACTGGGTCTAGGTCAAAAAGAAAGCGCAAAAAGAACAAATAATTATAACCCTTGAAAAATCAAGATTCTGCTAACATGGATCGATACAAAAGAAACTAATACATAAAAAAATAACAAATGCAAAAAAAACAGGTCAAACTTGTGACACTGACCAAATGGGCCAGAAAGTTGAGCAGAAAAGAGAATAGGTGGTTTGCCATGCCCCCCCCCCGCCCGCTGGGCGAATCACAATGGAGGAGTCAGAGAACAGGGACTTGATGGCATCCTTCTCTACCCAGGTGAGGTTGTTTCTAAAAGCCTGCTTAATGGATTCCTGGTTTCATGATCTACTGCCCAGCAAGATGTCCTCAGGGCCGGGCTACCTCAGAAGCCTCTGTAGTACTATGTGGCTGAAATGGGGTAAGAGACATTCTAGGTGGAGATTCTTTAAAATATCTCTTGGAAAGCCATTTCCCTTTCAAACTTGTATAGGTCAATTTGAAAATCTAATTCCTTGAACTTGTTAGTGAGCAAAAACGAAAATAAAATCCTTTATTTAATAGGCCATGTTCAGCAGAAGTAAGGTGATGCTTCTATGTAGAAATATGCTGATTAGATATATTATTTTTATTATTATTGTCTTCCTCACCTTTTGTAATAATAATAATACATTTCTTTATAAAGATGTGCAGTAACCCTGGTAACTTTTCCTGCAGGGTATGAGAAGTACAATACTATGCGTGCAGATCCTTGTCTTTGCTTCCTAGAGAAGGTGGGTGGGCCAGATGAGCAGGCAATTGCTGCAGAGCACCATGCACAGGATTATGTGGAGCTGCCAGAGGGGTGAGTGCTGTTTGGACAACTGACATGTTTGTAAACTTTTTATTCTGCTGCCGTGAAGTGTTGCTATCCTAACACTAATGCAACAGCAAGGGTCTATGCTGGGGGCAACATGAGTTTAACTAATTTCTCATGCAGTGAGTCCTGAGGCTGATCTATTTCTGTATTGCATGACATGCTGGATGGCTAGAGATTGTGATAATGGGATTTTTAAATATTCAATATTTACTGATATTTGCAAAAGGTTATACATACAAACACACATAATATACACCGTCAGGTCAATGTGCCGTTAGGTACTCGCATCACTAATAATTCAGCCTAAAGTTGTAAAAGGCTATTTGCAGCTGAACCTAGACGGCTACCGGACAAGAAACACATATACCAGGTAAGGAAGAGGGTAAAGAAATTGGAAGAGGGTAAAGGATAGCCAAAGAACAGAAAGGAGGGGTTGACAAAGAGGAGGAAGGAGGGATAGAGTGATAATAGAGTGATAATGGGATTTTAAATACTTTATACTTTGATTTTTTTCAGCGGAGATTTTGATAGGGATGTTGAAGATCCTGAGTATAAACCACTCCATGTACAGAAAGATGCGGAGGAGGAGGTGAGACTGACTACCTATTTATAATAACATATTGCTGAAAGAAAATTTTGTCCTGGTATTTACTGTGTAACATCATACTGTTCTAGATGGACCCACTTATGATGGATGAGGAAATATCTGTGGTGGATGGTGATGAAGGTGAGTTGAGAATGCACGAAAGATTAATGGGTTTAAGTTTGTCCACATTTTTTTTTTTTTTTCCGGTTACTAAAAACTGTAATACATATTGTACAATACGAAGTGTTCTTAAGTATCCAGCTTCAGTTTGCATGTGGAAAATAGAAGAAAACTTGTCCTTTACATGGACTGACTACCAAGATGTCTGCCTCTACGGAAGGGTTAACTGCAGTGAGATCACAGGCAATATGGTGGCTGGTACCTTCTCCTCTGCCTTCTTGTATTTTGGCCACAGCTTCAAGAGTTCAGTTCCTCTTTTACAGTAGAAGCGATTCTGGTGACTTAGCTGCCGCCAGATCGCATCTCCGGGCCGGTAAACGGGCTCCGCTACCCCTCCTACCTGCCCGGGACCGGCTTCTCTGGTGTCGGGGGGGGGGGGGAGAAGCTGGGGAGGAGATTGGCGAACGTCCATTCACCGATCTCCTCCCCGTACTATAGGAGCGATGCAGATTACATCACTTCCGGTCCCACAGCTGTCAGTGCTGGGCTCCTGAAGCTATTGAAGTGCGATCTGAACATAGTAAAACTCCCTGTGGAATAGCAATTAAAGACGAGCATGCTCGTCTTCACGTAAACGCGTCGGGTGCGCCTATGTATGAAAACGACGATCGTGCTACATACTTTGGGTATTACCGCGCACGCTGGAGTGAGAGCATTAATGCTAGGGCCAATATTTATGCGCATCTCTAAACTTATGACCTGTGGGGGCTTTTAAAGTGTCGTGTATGGACTTTTTGGGGAACTGAATTTTGTCAAAGTTTTCACAGACGCACACAATTTTGTACCTGAGCATGTTGGGTATCTAGTTGCTTGTTGTAACCTCATCTTTTATATTTTATTTTCCAAAAATTGTTATTTTATTGTGTTTTGGGGCATTTAAGTGCATTTTGTTACTAAATTTGGGGGTTTGATAAGGAGTTGTGCTAATATCATGCAACATAAAAATTTGCAACTGCTACCATTTTATTCTATAGGGTCTTGGCTGTCAGAAAATATAATGTTTGGGGGTTTTAATTAATTTTCAGGCCTAAAAGGTGGATTATAATATGTAAACAAAAAAAATGAAATAAGGCCTCGTTCATGAATGGGTTAATGTAACAAAAAATAACTTATCCCAGTCAGCATCAGCTATAGGGTTGCTCAATTCCCTTGGTTAACGGCATGGTTGTTGAAGTCTAGTTCTCTAAGGTCCAGGGACATCTTGGAGTCTGTGATTTCTAGAAATCCACTTCCTGCAAGGTCTTTGATTAGACGTGGACAACATGTTGGTGTGAGTCTTCAGGCTTTCACCCCAGGAGCTTAGTCTGGATGAGCGATTGGCTCTCAGCACTCAATGAACGATCTAAATCACCAGCACTCCGTAAATGAAATTCAAAAAAAGTCCATTTATTTGGACTAAACGTCACACATCGCATAATCCAACGTTTCTGGACCACGCAGGATACCTTCATCAGGGCAGAGATGGCTCTCAGCACTGTCAAGGGTCAGGTGCCTGTCCTTTCCGTTGTGTTTCAGAAACCATTGGCCTCTTACTCTTTAAGGTGTCTGTAAAAAAAAAAAATGTAATTGACCCACAACTATTCTACTGTATATGCCTTTTAATATCAGTGACTTGAAGCAATGCCATGAGGTTTCAGCCAAAATATGTAACTGCTTCTTACATTCTTTAGAAGAGCACGGGTTTCAAATGATTATGTCAGCAGTCTAAACTATGTGTAGTAATTCCATAGTGGATAAGTCATTGTCATTCTACTTTTTGCAGCAACACCTGTGCCTAGTGGCATGTTATGGCCGCCTGGATCTGCACTAACTGCCCGCCTTCGCCGGCTTATCACTGCGTACCAGCGCAGCTATAAGCGAGAACTGCTGAAGATTGAAGCTGCTGAACGAGGTGACAAGCGAAAGAAACGCTGCGAGGCAGCTTTCAAACTTAAGGAAATTGCACTTCGGGAAAAACAGCAGAGGTGATAATTCTATACAAGAGTCATTGTCGTCCTTTGTTAAACATATTTTTACCATCCTCCTTTTTAATTTCATTTTGTTGCATGTTGTTTTTGTCTCTAACAGGTGGACACGCCGAGAGGTTTGTGACTTTTTCCGTGTTCTTTCCAGCTTTGGGGTTGAGTATGATCCTGACACACAGCTTTATGACTGGCACAGATTCCGTAGTCTGGCTAGGCTGGATAAGAAAACCGATGAGTCACTACTTAAATATTTTTATGGTTTTGTGGCAATGTGTCGGCAAGTGTGTCGTTTACCACCAGTCGCAGGAGATGGTGAGTAATGCGAGATGGGCTTTTGACTTTTTTTTTTATCTTTTGAATTGCCTAAATGCCCTGTTGTTGTTTTTGTTTTCATGTATGGTTTTTTTTTTTTTGTCTACATACAGAGTCTCCAGATCCATCCTTGTTCATTGAACCTATTTCAGAGGAACGAGCATCAAGAGCTTTGTTCCGCCTTGACCTCCTGCGTAGGGTGCGTGAGCAGGTCCTGTGTCATCCTTTGCTTCCTGCACGTTTGTCTTTGTGTCGGCCGGACCCCGAATTACCTGAGTGGTGGGAGAGTGGCCGTCATGATAGGGAGCTTCTTGAAGGGGCAGCTCGATATGGACTAAGCCGCACAGACCTTACACTTCTGCCTGACCCTTCATTTTCTTTCCTAAGATGTCGACTCAGCTATCTCCAATCTAGGGGCATGTCTAATCCCTCCCGCCCATCCACTCCCTCCACTGTACCACCTTTAGCTACCACAGAACTTCAAGCCCCTCATATTCTTTCACTCTCTTCATCTGTCAGTTCCTCTCCAGCTCCACGACGGTCTTCTTGCTCCTCATCGTCCTCTTCATCCAACCTCGATGATTCTTCTGATGAGAGCAATGGGAGCAAAGCAGCTAATCGAAATGGTGAGCATTTTAAATGATTTCTAATTTAGTATTTCTTCTCTTTCAGCAGTTGGGGAAGACGGTTATTGGGTAATTTTAGAACCACTAGAAGGCAAGATAGTGATTCAGGGCTTTTTTCCACAGTGTCATGCACCAGAGCATTTAATTTGTAATTTTGGTTTTAATAATTGTAGATTAATTAGTTGGAATTAGGTTTGGCAAATGCTGGGGTCAGGAATCCAGTGGGTTTTTTTTTAAACTAACTTGACAAATTTAGCTTTTTGTCAGTATTGATTTTTCGTATTATGTTAATTTTATAGACCACTCTGCTTATACTTTTCTTAGCAGGTTTACCACACACTCGGTTATTTGGTGAGGAAAATCGATTGTCCGTCACAGACTCTCCAGCAGACCTGAAATCAGAGGACAGTGCTCAAGCAGTCCTGGAAAATCCACAGAGTGCAGACTGGCCGAAGGTAAGTCACAAACCACAAATATTTTTCTTAGAAAGCATAAAGCTGTCTTTGTCAACTAAGTATAGTGATGGTTACAACAACCTGCTAAAAGTATCCAAAATTTTATAGGATCGGGTTCTGATCTGCCGAATTGAGCAAGTCTGCAATGCAGTGTTAACTGGCAAATGGGGCTTACCAAGAAGAATTTTAGATCCACCAAGTGACAGCCCTGACAGCATGTCGCCAACCCCTGAGGAACAAAGCCCTGCCACCTTCACACACAGACCTTCACACAGAGCCCATGATCCAAAGGAATTTACAGTCCAAATCAGAAGTGTAAGTCTTTTAGTATTTTGTATTTTGTTTTTTGTTTTAATACCTTCTCAATTTAATGTGAAGAAAACATAAAAAAATGGCGCACAGATAAGTTAGATCTGTGCACTGCTTTTTTATGTTTTCTTTACAGGGCTGTTACATGGATGCTTCCCTATCCAACTAACTATGCTGCAGGATCGGTGCCTACATCTTCTCTGGATTAACCACCAGTATAACTGGAGCTCCTTCGACACTATCAATACAAAATTGTTGGGTTTTTTTTTGTTTTAGTTTTTTAAATCTATGCATAGATGTACTGCATTAGTCCACCCCACTTCATATTTTGGTTACACATTGTTGATATTGAAATGTCGGGTAGCAGCAGCCAGTAGGCTGAATTAACACTGTATGCTTGTACTTTTATTTTTTTATAATATATAGTTTATATGCGTACAGCCTAAATAAAGCTGAAAGTTACAGAGCATGGCTTTGTTCTAATTTTTATTTTAGCTGAATTTAGCTCCAGATTACAGGACTGTGTGCATAGGCCCATAGCATATCCTACAGCTGTGTTCAGATCTGTAGAAAAAAAAAAATACACATTAAGGAGCCCTTACTAAATAGCACACTGAGGTCACTTTTTGCGTAGAATTTGTGTTTTATCAATGTAAAAGGCCAACGTACTAGATGATGCTGTGAGGTCCTATTCTTCAAATCTTATGGTCTCATTGATTTATCATGTTATCCTTTTAATTATTATTATATAGGATTTATTGTACAGGATTTATATAGCGCCAACAATTTGCTCAGTGCTTTACAAAATAGTGGAGACAATACAGTTACAATACAATTTACAATTCAATACAGTTTCAGAGCAATAGGGTTGGGAGGGCCCTGCTCGTGAGAGCTTACAATCTAGTAGGAGGGGCAAGTGATACAAAAGGTAATAATTGTTTGGATTAGGTTATTGGAGGAAGTAAAAGCCAGTTATGTTGAGATGAGATAGGCTTCCCTGAAGAGATGGGTTTTTAAGGATCGCCTAAAGGTGGGCAGCGTAGGAGATAGGCGGACAGAATGGGGTAAGGAGTTCCAGAGGATGGGATACACTCTGGAGAAGTCCTGGAGGCGAGCATGGGAAGAGGTAATTAGAGAGCAGGAGGTCCTGAGAGGACGGTTTGGGTGATATTTTGAGATGAGATCAGTGATGTAGGTTGGGGCGGAGTTGTAGATGGCTTTGTATGTTGTTGTTAGTATTTTGAATTTTATTTGATGGGCAAATTTCAATGAAATGTAATATCCTCTGTTTGCTTTTTGTTGCAGGAGGAAGGACTAAAGATAAAATTTCAAAAACATAAACTTCTAGGTAACGGAGCAGTGGAATCGGTACAACATGTACATAAGAAGAAGAGTAAAAAGAAATTGGCCCAGGTGAGCCTGTTCACTGCTGAGGATCGTTTTTTTCAGATTACATTATTTATAAAACTGCAGTAAATGCTAGAAGTATACAGTTGCATTTGTAAAGTTCCATTTTACTCAGTCAGATGTGATGATCACTAGTTATGTGCCGTTAGTAGAATTGATTACTCTTTGTAGATCAACACATGTTCACCGTGTAATGAATACGGTTCACTGCACTAAACCCCAGTTTTATGCATTAGTGCACAATTGTTACCAGCTTTTCCTGTTATCATTTTGTTTATCATTGCAGGCCTCCCAGCGAGAGTGGTTGTTGGTGAAAGTCGCTGTATATAATAAGACTAGGGATGCACCAATACTGGGCATTTTCACGAGTACTCTGGAAAGTGCCCCGAAATGTAGCTCCGATATCTGCGTTTTACATTTTTTAATTGAAGCTGGTGCTGTAAACAGGCACTGCTGTTCACAGGAAGGCTGCCGAGGCACCCAGCAAGGTCCCGGCAGCCTGCCTGTATATAGTGGCGCAAGTTTACAGCGTCGGCCGCAAATCCTCCTTCCTGTGGAACCCCACACAGCCCACCTGAGGAGCTGCAGGAGTGTGCAAGACATTTGATCAGTGTAGTAATAACTGTCAAAACCTGAGGACCGTTTTAAAAGAATAAGGTTGTAGTAGTGTGTCTTCATGCGTTCATAATATTATAATTTAACTAATGGTGCTGTCCCTTTTTTTTAGATGGATTTAGATATGGATGCTCGAATTCCAGTTGTGAATCAGAGGGATGGCACTGTACTACTTGGGGAGGAAGCCCCTAGGCGCTGCCAACTACATGAGTGGTTGCACAGGCATCCTGACTTCATTGTGGATCCCCGTTTTCTAGCGGTATGATAAAATGAAACCTATGCTTCCTTTTTTTTATTTTTATTTAAACGTGCTAGAAAGTGTTGCAGGTTTGATGATCAGGGATGCATGGAAGTTAGCAACTTGTCATAAGCCAGTTGTAAATAAACGGATGGATAGCAAGCTCTTTGCACCTGTACCTGTACATCCTTCTTCTTTTTGCGCTCGCAGAATCCCGCAAAAGTTTTAAACAGCCGGGACCAGCTGTTCCATACAAGCGTTCGGGCAGCTCTGTAGCCACCCGATCACTTGTAAAAAAAGTCACTTGCCAAACAGTGTGCGCACCGCTTCTTGGCCCTCTATGTGATCTCAATCAAGTTAAGTGTAAAAAAATTAATTAAAGTCACATGTAAAAAACAAAAATGTTAAGGCCCCTGCGTGCATGCACGTATAAACCTCAATACGCGTTGGGTGCGCCTACGTCCGAAAACGACGATTACACCACACGTTACATATCACCGCGGACGTCGGAGTGTGAGCAGTAATTTTAGGGCCATTAATCGCTGATAGGACTAAACAGATGAATGGTAAAAGATTTTAAAGCGTTGCCTATGGTCAATTTTAGGTATGATAGTTTTTTGCGATTTTCCCAGGCGCGCACAATTTTAAAACTTGTTTGGTGCCCTATTTACCAGACGTGACCCCGTCTTTTATGTTTTACAAAAAATGTGGGAGGTAGAAAATGTTTTGATAACATAGGGAAAAGCTTTCTTCTTTTTTTTTTTTTTTTTCCAAAAATGTTAAGTACTTTTTTCATTTTATCGTAAAACATTAAAAACGCCAGTGGTGATTAAATACCACCAAAAGAAAGCTCTATCTGTCCCCAAAAAATGGTATAAAATTCATCTCAGTACAGCGTTGCATGATGGAATAAAATGTCAGTCAAAGTACTGCAGCGCTGAATACTGAAAAATGGCCTGGCCAGGAAGGGGGTTTAACACCCCGGTCATCAAGTGGCCAGGGCTTGTTTCCACCAGACCACACGTGTACCGCAATGTCCTGTGCCCTGAACCCAAGAGATCGCATACATAAAGTCTCCATGGCACTGCCCGCCCCAGAACGCAAGGAGTCTTTATATATGTGATCCCTTGCGGTCCGGGCACAGGACATTGCGGTAGATGCACAGCCTGGTGGAAACAAGCACTTAAAGAAGCTATACAGCATGTTGCTTAAATTCCATTCTTGGCTTAGTATCTTGGTAGTCTTGGTTTAGTCTCTAAGAAAACAAACCAACACCAACTGGTGAATACCAAAATATGGCCACAAAGGTTGTGATGGCACCTGGATATGAAAGAGTCAAATAGGACAGAATGCTTTAAGATGTGCTCTGTGTTAGAAGGCACTTGGTCATATGGCGTGTTTACTATTACAGGCTTAGTCCACTTTTTGGACTATGTTTTTTAAGTTGCACCCTATAGACGTTTTTTTTATTTAATTGAGCTCCTCCCACACAGCCACATCATCCATTTGCAGAGATCTTTGAATGAACATACAAGTCCCATCTCCAACCTAGGTAGAGGTACTTAGCAGAGAGGCTGGCAGCAGGGCATTTACATCACTGCAGTTGTAGTTCATTACTTCTTCCAATGCAAGAGTCTGTGCGTTACACCTGCAATGTACTTATCACGGTGGCAGTGCTTTGCAGCCCTGAATGCAAACATTTATTATAATGCATGTTTTTATTACTTTTTGGTGTATTTATTTTCATAAGAAAGACTGTGCTTTTAAAACCACATTTACCATTTGAGAAACCTGTCTAGATTTACTAGAAGAATAGCCGGAAACGTCTACAGTCTAAATGAGATTTCTTATCAAATATAAGTCCTGTTTATTAACTTTTCACAGTACATGGAGGACCGGAGGAAACGCAAGAAACACAAGAGTAAAAAATCCAAATCCTCTTCAGCAGCACTTGGTATTATAGGCACTATGCACACCTCCCACCATCACAATGGGAAAAAGGTGAGTTGTCTGGCCTGTATATAATTAAATGTATAATTTGACGATACATGATGGGAAACATTTTACAACTATGGCGCAAAAAATCCAGGAGCAGTAGGTCATGAGACCTGATTTTATTATTGGATCACAGCTTGGTTCATAAATTCCTACCTCTACTGATCAAAAGCAATACATCAGTTTTAAGTTATGAATATTGGTTTCTTGTGCCCTGAGGGACAGATGAATGCTTTTACATTCAGGTGATACTGCTGCCTAGAGGAGCTGGGGACATGGGCAAACAGAAAAAGCCAGCCCCATATAACCCCTCTTCTACCCAGCATGCCTCAGTTTTTTGCTAGTGACTTAGGAGATTGGACAGCTTTACTTCAGCACCACTGAAAAAAAAAATCTAATCTTTTTGAAATCCTTCCATTCTTGGTGACTTCAATATTTTTCTTCCTATGTTGCTGGTGTTTTACCTTCTGAGACTTTGAACAAGAGTCCTTGCTATATTGCTGCCTTTGCTGGTCTCTACATAGCAGTTTCCATGATCGGCAACTCCTCAGCACTGGCAGTGCTTTGACCCCACTGGACAGGAAATGGGGGGCTAACCTGCAATGTGACCTTCAGGCATTGGATTCTGCAATAAGATATGCAATACTCCTTAATTTTTTTTTATTGGTGACTGTTGCCACCCCTCAGTTGGACTACTTTTGGATCCCGACTATAATAGAATTCCTGTGTCCCTCAATGGATTACAATAAAAAAGATTTAACCGTACAAAACTCCTTTTGGTATCGCACCTTAAGTATGAACATACAAAAAAAAAGTAATAATATTGTTACCCTGAACCCTTGGGTGCAAATGATATGATTTATGATGTTAAATATTATCAGAGCAGTAGAAGCAGATACTATAATGTCAAAATGCAATACAATGAAAGGTTTGGAAACCATCTTAACATCATAAACCCTCTGGTAAATGAGCTGCCCGATTTGCATTAATCACCTGGTTCTGTTGGTTATATGTCATTCAGGGCTCACTTTCTTTGTGTCCTTTAACAAAACATGCAACATTACTATTCTCTAAATGTGAAAGGAGAACTATGAGGTGAGTGCTTTCCACTCACCTCATAGTTCTAGCCGACCTGTGACATGAGACTGTCACATGTCGGCTCAGTAGATCGGGAGGTGAGCGAACACATACCGGCTTTCAGCTGGCTCGGGTACAACTGCCTCTAGATCACGCAGCTGGGCGGATCCAGACATAATTGTCGGGATCCGCTTCAGCTGCGGCATCTCAGTATATCACGAGCAGCTCTTGGTATACTGCGGCGTCTCAATATACCGCGAGTTGTAGCTCGCGGTATACTGAGCTTAGGGTGACGGGAGGACGCTAGTTTGTGTCCTCCCGTTACCCTAAGGAGAACTATGGGGAAAAGCCTTAACCCCATAGTTCTCCTTTTTAACTTCCTATTATTAGTTTCAATGGTGCATGCATTTGAAGGGTGTAGATTTTATACTTGCATTAATCGATATATTTTTTTTTTCCCCGTATTCAGTCTTCACTCACAGAGAATACATTTGACGTTCAACACCTGCCCACAGCAGCCAAGAAGAGAAAGAAACGTCCTCCCTCCAAGCTTATATTGCCATCTGCACTGCATGGTGCTGGTGACACTTCTCATTCCTTCTCTCGGGACCCTAAGCCAGAACCCAGTGCTAATCCTCTGCGGGCCATGTATGGAGCAGCAGGAGAGGGAATTCTGCATCAGTCTGGACATTCTGGTCTGGCAATACCTCGTTATCACCCTCTGCACACATCTTCTGCAAGCAGAATTCAAGGACCTGCTTTTGGTGATGATTTATCGAGTTATGAGCCCCAACAGCAACACTTCTCTCTGCTTGATGACCCCATGATGCCAGCAAACTCTTCCTCCAGTGGCGATGAATTGGACAGACCTTGATAGGACCCTCCCCCTAGTGGGAATCGTGAACAACCCACAAAGATGCAGGGCCAAACCCTCTCTATAGAGACATTGTTCCGCCTTGTCACGAGTAGCCTGTTTTTTGTTTTTTTTTCTCTCCCACCCCTTTTCAGGACTCCATGGCTAATTCAATGTCTGCGTCCCAGGATCCTTTGCGGCAGGATACACGCAGGATCATAAAGGACAAATGAATGAGGCTTTGACTTTTTTTTTCTTTTTTTTTTTTAAATTAATATTATTAACTCTATTGCTGGAAGGGGCCTTGCACCACACTTTATTGCAAAACAGGTTCTGGAATATTATGAAGTCTTACAGTGCAATAAGGCACTTCAGGATCTGGGTGACAAGGTCCCTATTCCATTTGGGGTTCTCCACTATTCACCCAAACCTGATGTGCATCAATCCCATAGGTCACTGGTATAGGAATTACATGACTTGGATACGTTGCAGTAAGGTTACTGCAGCTTTACTATTCTGCACAGGGCATATGGAAATCTTTGCAAAGCAGAGTAAATCCTGTGCAAAATATGTATGAGGGAGGGAATGGGCACTTTTGTTTGTGTGTACATGTGGGACCGAACACTGAGGAGCAGAAGCTATGTTTTCTAGGGTGCAGGGGTACAAGGCTGGCAGCCTTCACGGGCCCTCCTCAGTCATATGTGAAATGAATAAACTCCTTGATTTAATATACTGAGTCTTTTCCGAAGCTGTGGAAATTGATCGTATTCTTTTTTTTTTTTTCTTTCTTAACCCTACTCTAGTTGTAATGCAGCATCCAAAAGGGAAAGTGTACTTCACTTTTGCAGCTAGATATAACAATTCTCCCACTATATGTTTAAGTGTTCCCATTCACACAGCATACCTAAAAATATATATATATATAATTACTTTTTAGATTTTTATTTGGAGCAGGATTATACACAGAACGGCACGGTATTCTGAGCAATTTCAAAGGGACTAAGAGGGACACAGTTATTTTCCCTTCCGTAACATACCCAATTTGGCTGCAGAAGTGGAAGTACACTTTAAGCTGGAATTTTGAACATCCTGGGGAATGGTGTAATTGTTTTATTTTTGTCTGTGTGCGCCCCAATGGGACAATTTTCCTCCTCAGTTCCTATCCTGGTGACTATGACCTGTGAAGAGGTGATCCACAGTTATGTGTTTGTCTAATAGTAACCCTCCTAGAGATGCCATGTTAACAGTAATAACTGTTCTCCCCCTTTCATTGCTCACATTCACCATAGTCGCCCTTAAACAGCGGAATGCTTTAGTGTAAGAGGGCGTTGGGTACATTGCTAACAGGGTTAGCATGGCACAAATTTCTAAAAATACAGTCCCCATTTTTTATTTAAATGATAGCAAAATTGTGAGTTTAGTAACATATTGGGCAGCTACCTTTTTAAAATTTGTTACAGAAGCAAGGAATGCCCTGTTCTTTCTTTCTTTCTATATATCTTGGCAGTTGAGTGTGAAGAGGGAGTTGTGTTCTCTCCTTCTGGAGTTGTTCCATAGAAATTAACGTTAGGGTTAACACAGGTAGCTGTCTCTGTGCAATCAGAAACCTTTTAGGACAGGTCAGGTTCACGTAAAGAAAAAGCTTCTAAACTGTCCCTAAAATTGTATAACCGGTGCCTGCACCTTACTAGTATGCCACAGAAGATTTAAAATCAGGAATGCTCTACTATGCAAAGTGTAACTTTGGAAGCAAAAACTGACAGTTGGCCCAAACCCTGCACTTTTGGTACTGGCTTCTAAATGTGGCGGGTGGTCTCACTGGCCCATTTTATGGTGCTGGAGAGAGTGGGGTCATTTCTCAAGTTGTCTTTTAAAAAAGGGAATGGAGACCCCCTCAAGCTATCTACAGAACACTCCAGGGGGAGAACATTTGTCATAAGGTTTTCTTTAAAATGAATCTGCAAACTGATTTAAGCAACACAACCAACTGTTCTGTACAGCAGACATACTTTGGTGCTCCGTCATATATAAACTGTGGATCCCTACTTCCTGATAATCCTTATTTTAAAAAATCCAAAGCTTCTGGGTATAAGGCAAGCCTGCATATTTTGCTCCCCACCGCCTCGAGCAGTACAATTGTCAGTGCCTCAGCGTATAACAGCCAAGTCTGTGCACTGTAAGCTGTGACCATTCCTGACTCTATCCAAAAGGAGTTCTACTTTAAAGTAGGGATGTTCTGATGACACTTTTTTCAAGACCAAGAACTTTCCCTCAGGTACTTGCCGATACCAATTACTGATACTTTTTCTTAAAGGGACGTGACATTTTTTCTAAAACAATATAGACTAATGATTTTAAGGCAGTTTCTTTAGAGTTATAAAGAACTGTAACTCAATTCATGATTATTCAGCAATGGAGAATGGCAACCAGCAATAGAGGAGTACAGATCCCATCAATTCATCATTATAAAGCAATTATACAGGGCTGCATGTGGGTGCCCGGCTCTCCAGGGCCCTGCTGGGGGGGGTGCCTGGCTCTCCAGGGCCCTGCTGGGTGGGGTGCCTGGCTCTCCAGGGCCCTGCTGGGTGGGGTGCCTGGCTTTTCAGTGCTCTGCCGGTGAGTGTTGTGCTTTCCAGGGCTCCGCGATTGAGTGCCTGGCTTTCCATGGCTGAACAGGTGGGTGCCGGGCTCCAGGGCTGTACAGGCAGTGTGGGGCTGTCCAGAGCTGTGCTTGTCTCTGCATGGAAGGAGGAGATGCAGTGCCAGACTAGCGCTGTCGAAGAAAGCTACAGCGAGGTCCCCAGCCTACTGCCTGAGGTCAAGAAACCTCAGGCAGCCGAACTTGTTTTAAAATAAAAAATTAAAGTGCCGGTATTGGCCTTTTTAGTATCGGGGTATTTTCACAAGTACTAGTATCGGTACCGGGACATCCTTACTTTAAAGTGTATTGAAACCCAAGAACAAAATTGCAACTACAGCTTACAAGTCCTTGGATGTGCTGGCTGCATTAGGTTTCATTTTTTTAGGCTTCCCCCCTAGCTGAGGATCAAAGCTGTGAGACAAGGTTGCTAAGTATAAACTTGTTCACGCTGGAAGTGAGAAAATTAAGAGGGGACATGATTTTGCTGTACAAATGGTTCAGTGGTGATGGAAACATCGGCACTATACTTTTTACTGTAAACTCCCTAACAAGGACTAGAGGTGGTGGAGAAAAGATTTATAAACAAAGGGTGTAAGGGCTTCTTTTCAGTTAGAGTGGTTACATTTTGGAACTCTCTGCCACAAGCAGTGATATCTGCTAAGAATATTGACTTGTTCAAAGATCAATTAGATACCGTCCTAAAGAGACCGTAACATACAGGGCAGTGGCGGAGCTAAGGAACAAAGGGCCCTGGTGCAATTTTTTTTTTTTTGGCCCCCCCCCCCCCCCCCCTTATTTTCACCTGGTGATCCTGCCAGTAACACACTTCCTGTCCATGGGTAAGAATGCTCACTAACTGTACTGTATTTATACAAACAACTCCCCCTCTCCTCCCCTCCTGTAACATGAGGAAAAGGTCTTCTCCAGTCCATGGAAGAGAACTGGGAACACTGAAATCTAGACATATTGGTACTATTCCTTTTAATTAACAAAAAACTTTAAACTATAGCCCTCACTTATTAAGGTTCACTTTGTAATGGTTCTGACTGCCTCAGTGGCCTGTAAGGGCTGTTTAAGTAGAAAAGCACAGAAGCAGCCAATGCAGTGTGGACAAGAAATCTGGGAAAGGTCTGGTTTTCGTAAGAAAGTTAAACTACATCAGAGAAGGGCACAGAAGAAGCTCTTCAGATAACTGGTATCTTTAAGGCCCCATTCACACCAGGGCGACAGCGTTTCAGTGCTTTTTTTTTGCATGTTTTTTGTACTTTTTTTTTTTTTTTCCCCAGTGTGTTTTACAGCCATTTTATGTTCATATGTAAGAGTGTTTGGCTCTGATCGGCGCATTTCCTTTGAAGTCTATAGTGCAAAACGAGTTGATAAACACAAAAGCTCATAGACTATTTTAAACAATTGGCATATTGTTATGCATGATTCAGCACGTTTGTGTGAACAGCCACCATAGGAATACATTTGGTTTTGATTTTCATGCTTTTACCGTGAACTGTGCCTTAGTGCGAATCTCAGACCTATCTCTTTACTCCCCTTCACCTGCAAACTCCTTGAACGCCTCATGTACAACCGCCTGAGCTTCCACCTCACTGATAACAATCTCATTGATTCCATATAGTCCGGCTTTCGCCCCCCAACACTTCAAAACAGCCCTCCTAAAACTCACTAATGACTTACTAATAGCTAAAAACAATGGCCAGTTCTCCATACTCTTGCTATTAGACCTTTCTGCTGTTTTTGACACAGTTGACCAACCACTGCTCCTCAAAAAAAAAAAACTCCACTCGCTTGGCCTAAAAGACTCTGCTCTCTCATGGTTCTCCTTCTACCTATCTAAGCACTCTTTTAGTATAACCTAAAAATCTACCTCTTCCTCTCCTCTTCCCCTTTCTGTTGGGGTCCCCCAAGACTCTGTCCTTGGATCCCTTCTTTATCTACACCTCATTTCTGGGTAAGTTGATCAACACACATGGCTTCCAATACCATCTCTATGCTGATGACTCTCAAATATATCTCTCCACTCCACAACTCACCTCCTCAGTCTCCTTTTACATATCACTAACTGACATATCAGTCTGGATGTCACAACACTTCTTCTAGCTCAATCTTTCAAAAACTGAGCTCATGGTATTCCCTCCCCCCGTGCACCTTCTCCCAACTTTTTGATCATGATTGATAACACAACTATCCAAACCCCCCCCCATGCCAAGGTGCTAGGTGTCATCCTTGACTCAGAACTCACCTTTCTTCACCACATCCAATTTCTATACACATCCTGCCGTCTTCACCTTTCTTAACATCTCCAAAATACGCCCCTTCCTCACCAATGAAACCACAAAGCTGCTCATCCAATCACTGGTTATCTATTGTCTCCACTATTGTAACTCCCTCCTCATTGGCCTACCACTACACAGGCTATCCCCCTTCAGTCTATCATGAATGCTGCTGCCAGACTTATCCACCTAACCAACCGCTCAGTGTCTGCAACTCCCCTCTGTCAATCCCTCCACTGGCTTCCAATAGCCCAAAGGATAAGATTCAAAATATTAACAACAAAGCCGTCCACAACCCCGCCCTCAGATATATCCAACCTCCTCTCAAAGTATTACCCTAATAGTCCCCTCCACTCCTCCCAAGACCTCCTGCTCTCTAGCACTCTCCCTCATCAACTCCTCCCATGCTCGCCTCCAGGACTTCTGTAGAGCCTCTCCCATTCTTTAGAAATCCTTACCCCAACCTGTCCGTCTTTCTCCTACTCTGACTGCCTTTCGGCGATTGCTAAAGACTAATTTCTTTATGGAAGTCTATACCACCTCAAACTAACCACTGAACTCTTTCTCAAACAATTCATCCCCACACATCTACCTCCTCATGTATCAC